AATCTCACCCTGTTCTCATCTATGTTTGAATCCCTTCACTTCAAATAGCTCCTGTGTCTTGTTTGGTGGTCATCTTTGGTAAATACTGTTTAGTATAATAGTAAAAAAAATGTCCCGCCCTTTAGCTGTGATAGGCAATAAATTCAGGGCCTCTATAGATTATGACCCTTCAGATTAAATTGGTGTTGCCTAATATTTGATAACACATTTGACTAAGCAGTGTCTATAAGCAATGAGCATATACAAAGGCATACTGTTGTGGGTGTGGGTGCACATGCTCTGCTTGTAGCCGTCACAATTTTCTGCACATCTGAGTGGCTCAGGTTGGTAAGGTGCTGCAGTTCAAGATGGACCTTCACAAGAATATCCTGCCAAGGACAAGGGTATGTTTGTGGTTTGTGCATGCACCAGTAGTAGAAATGTTGGTCGTAACAAACAAACAAACAAACAAGGCATGGTATAGATGATACTATGATAATTTTTGCCTAGTTGAACTTCAGAAGTTCTAACGTTAGCGGGCCGGGGGGTGCCCTAATTCCGACCTATGTTCCATGCAAACGCATAGACCTTTGGTAATAGTTTATCTGACCAAAAACCCGCGCAACATGAGATATAATATTGACAGATAAAGATCACAACGATTAAAGCTGCACAGCTGTGTATTTCACTTGAGTGTAGCGCCTTGCACCCAAGCGTAATGGTTCGCGAAACTTACGGCAGGTTTTTGGTCATTTTGCCGGTGGAACGTTCTATCGCAACAGGGGTGCCCTAATTCCGACCCAGTGTTTAACACGGTCGATCTGAGAAGAGAGTTTAGAAATTATAATACACAAATTAAGACTAAAACAATCTACAACTGTTTTCTGTCCCAAACAAGTCTTCTTTTTACGATTACGCGACTTGCTCCAAAGCGACTGTTTGAAAAGCAAAACCTGCATTTTTGACACGCTCGTCAACCCCCGAACAAGCGTCGAATTCACACAGATTTTTCACTCATCTGTTGTCGGAGTGTACGAACTAAAACAGACTTTGTGAGGTTACCGACATCAACACAATAACATTATCCATTCTTGTGGTTATTTTTAATCACGTGCTCCCATGCATAACGCCGCAACAAGGATTTTTCAAACTAGTTCGGTATTAGGGATTGGTCAGAATTAGGGCACCCCCAGTTACTTATGCTTGTTACTTATTGACCTAAAAAAATCTGTGACATCCATTTAACAAATGTAACGTTAAAGGTTGGTTAGTTAAATTTGGAATGATCAAACTAGAAAAAGTAATTTCCTTAGGAAAAAATCTAAAATAATCTTTCTTGTTGTGTGCCTATTCTGTTATTTAAATTTTCTATACACATTTCCACCAACCCACTGTCATGATAATCTTGATAATAGGAAATTCAAATTCATGAATTCTATTGAACAAATCTTCACGAAAAAATTCATGATATTTGGAGCTTTACCGTAGATCAGGAATTATCTAACTAACTTATCTACATGGAGGAAAGAGAATCTATCATGGTCGGGAAGACCAGTGATCTCGAAATTGACATAATTTTTCATTCGCTTGCGATCCGGCTTCAAGAACAACTACTGACGCATGACAGATGAAGTTACCTGACAAGAAGACAACTTTTTATGCCTTTCAAGACGGTCTACCAGCTCAGGCTCAAGCCCAAGCCGTCTCAGCTTCCTCAGGGACATGGTAGATATCGTTTCAGGTGGCCATCTGATTTGTTGAGCAGTAAAACTAAGACGAAGAACTACGTTATCATGAGCAGTTTTCGTGGGAATTCCAAGACCACAGCGGGACGTCTTCTCTTCAAAATCATCTTGCCGCCACTTATCCCGATGGCTGATGGGTAAGTTTGGCATGAACCATTTCTTTATAGGGAAAATGTTGACTACGTTTTGCTGTGAATTATAAAATATTCCAGTATTTTGACAGATTTTTTAGCATAGAAATATTACTTATTTACTTCAATACGTTTGTTTCATAGAAACATCTGTCGTTGATCAAACTTACACTTTCTTTTGTCAACTAGTTTAGGAAGTTTCACCTATACTGAATTGAACACTTCTGCCCAATCTCCAACATGTCCGCCAAAAGTACGGAGACAAACAAGATCGTACCTGCAGAAAACAGGGATTACGGTCAAGTTCAGCCCGTTAATGTGGAGACATGGCTCGAGGAGAACGAAAAGTTCTTCCTGCCTCCAGTCTGCAACAAGCTGATGTGAGTCTTGCTCCACCTTCCGCGCTAAAGCTAGTTAGGCAAGTTGTACCAAGATGACCTCGAGTCTGTCCTTAACGTTAGGGGTTGTAAACAAGTGCTGTGTTGTATTTGCACAAGTTTAAAGTTCAGATTAATTTTTTGTTCTTATGCAGGCATAACTGGCAATTGAAGGTCATGTTTGTCGGAGGACCAAATCAGCGCAAGGACTATCACATAGAGGAGGGAGAGGAGGTATGAATATTATGAGAGATGTGGAGAGAAAATATGATTTTTTTTTGTCACCACAGAAAGTTCAACTAAGACTCACTATGACGTACTAGACAAAACCTGTCACGGGGGATATCATCTAAGGGAGTGGATGCCTTGCCTAACCTTAAGGTGCCTGTTTGAAGTGTTTCGACTTACTTGTTAGATGAAATTTGAAAGTATTGACAGTCTATTGATAGACTGTTGTGTTGTTTGCAGCTGTTCTACATGGTGAAGGGGGACATGTGCCTGAAGATTGTGGAGCAGGGGAAACACAAGGATGTGGTAATCAAGGAGGGTGAGGTAAGATTATCAACATCAAAGAACTGGTATTTATACCTGAGCCACATGTATAGAGTATGTAGTAATTCCTTCCATACAAAGAAGTGTATGATGAAATTTTGGCATATTTTTCCATTTTTTCCAGGTGTTCCTGCTGCCAGCTCGAATCCAACACTCCCCCCAGCGTCAGGAGAACACCATTGGGCTGGTGCTGGAGAGGGAGAGGGGAGCCGGGGAGACGGACGGGTTGAGGTGATCCTTTAGACATGGAAGAATGTATCTTGTTTCTCTAGTGTCAGTATTATGTTATATAGTACTATATCTTTGTATTGCCACTTGTGCCACTTGTTCGCAGTGTGGCATAACAGGTCAAGTATTCAATATTATAAGGAGACAAACTTTCTTTTGAGATTGCCCTGCTGAGCAAGATGTAAGTAACCAGATTAACATATATATATATATTATCCTTGTCAGGTATTTTGTAGATGGGACCACAGAGAGGCTTTACGAGAAATGGTTCCACTGTACTGACCTTGGTGCTGAACTCAAACCTATCATTGAAGGGTAAGGAGAATTATATGTTCATATACTACAGTATGTCAATCAAGGAAATCATATGAACCAAAGGTGATGGAATAGCTTGTTTTTAATGAGAAATAGCTTAGAATACCATAGTACAAGGCAGAAATTCAGCTCTAAAGCTTTAAAAATATGGACTTTTCCTTTGATGTTTTTCATCTGTGTTTAAAGATACAAAACCATTGTAGGCTGTTTGGCAACTTAACATTTACATGTTACTGTTTATTTTATCTGTAGATACTTCAATTCCACACAGTACAAGACAGGAAAGCCAATTCCAGGTATATCTTGTACATTTCACATAAGGCTCATGTTTATTGTTAATTTAGCAAGGCCTTTTAATGGGGATGTTACTGTGTTAAACATTCTCTCTTGGCCACATCCTAACTCTAACATGTAATATTAGTCTTGAAATACAAATTAATTGCAGTAAAAGCCTCTTTCTGGATTAATTACCAATACCTTTACAGTTACAAACACTTACAATTGTTGTGTCCAGAGGAGCTTCAAGCAATCCTGCCATTTGAGCTGGACATGAAGACAGTGGTGATGAAGCCATTTCCCCTGAAGGACTGGATACAGGAGCATAGGAGGGACATGGATGAAGATGGAGGGGTCTCCATGTTTGGGGAGAAGTTCCAGTTTGAGGTTTGAATTCCACTATGGGACAGCTACTGACAAGATTCTGTAGGTTCACTGTTAGTGTTACTGTAACAGTAAAGTTTGCAGGAATCATTACAAATTGGACTGATCAAGCCATTTTCATCCTTACCTCTCTTGTAGACCAGAATGTTTGGAAGTGGGAAGGCAGAGGGCAGCAATGCTACAGCAGAGACATGGCTGTGGCAACTGGTAAGCGGTCTTAATTGACTTACAGAATAGTCTATTACCAATTGTTCATTGTAGATGCTTGATGGTATAAGTCATTCTTTTATAACATGTTTGTCACCTTGTCATTTTTCCCCAGGAGGGTGAGGCCAAGGTGACAGTTGGGGACCAAGTCCATAACCTGGCGGCACACAACAGTCTGCTCATCGCTCCTGGACAGCTGTGAGTATGCTCTGATGATACCATATCCATATAACCTTCTCCCCACTGCCTAACCCCGTAACCAGAACAGCTTTCATACCAAAAACTACCTTGATTATGAGCGTTGAAGAATCAGACTTTCAATAGATGGTACCAAAGAGAACCGGTCAGGCAAGCGGGTCCAGGTCAGAAATATGGATTGATGTCCATATGTAGACAGAGTAATGAGTATGGATAAAATTGCAGGGTTATAAAAAGCTGGACAGGTAATGCCAGGGTATCATTTGCAGCTGTGGTGTGAACCCATCTGCCATGGTCCCACTGACTGGCTTCTAATGGTGATTGAGGTGAAAACTATATCCATTTCTCCTGACCCATATCATCAGGAGGAATGCGATGGTATTGATGAAGTGGGAATGTCAAGAATCATTGTATTCATCACCAGTCACCCACCAGTACAATTCTGTACACACCTTCTGTTAAAGTATTGATTTGCTGTTGGAGTTTCTGTGAGATGAGGAGAATACATGACTTGAGTTGGCCCTGGTATCAATGTTTTCAGCTGTCAATATTAGGCTCTCAACTTTGATATGATTATTTTGATCGCTCAGTTACATGTATTTGCATAGCTTTCTTTGCATACACACTTTATCTTGTGTGTAAAAACATCATCTCTGTTTCCGGTTGTAATGCCTGTGTTGTACTTTTGTGTTTCAAGGTACAGGTATGAGGGTACAGAGGGAGCAGTGTGCATGGCTAACCTACAGGATCCTAATAGGAAGAGTTGAGATGTGTTGATCTGCACACACACAACACCATTATAAGTATATCTATATGTTGTACAGAACCAATCATTGAAGCTTGATTTAGACGCACTTCCTGCAAGTTAACAGTTTAGCAAGCAAATCATTTAACCATTTCTGTGGAGCTAATAAGAAACCATTAGGAACATTTGTGGCAAAATATATAAGAGCTATGACATATGTAGTAAACTTTGATTGAGTCAGAAGATTTAACAATCTTCAAACATAATTGTAGTATGCTACAAAAGAAAAACAAAGGTCTGGTGAATTATGGATTTTTCAGAGTTTTTGTGTACACTTCAGACTGATTCTTTGAACTGTGTAAACTTAAGTAAACTGTAGTATTATCTTATGAAGGCCAATTATATATACCGGTAGTAAACTATGTGAAACATTGGCAGGTTTTAGTTTAAATTCCCAACAAGACATTGTTGCTTAAAGAAATAAGAACTTGCAAAGCGATTTTAAGCTGTGGGAGTGATGAAAAGTTGCTTTTATTCCATATATAATACACCTATCGTGTTGCTTCCTCGCTTATGTTGTCAGTTATTTTCTTTTACTCAAACCATCATGGACATGGTTGACCAGAATCTCCTATCTGAATGTGTTACTTCAAGTAGTCACATGTCTTTGTAATATGTACTGACTATGACAAGCACTATACACATGGAAGGTCTCCCCTACACACCTGCACCAAATCTGGGGTAAAAGTCTTCTATCTGACTTAAATTCAGACACCACACAGGAGTCCAGGAGCTGCTCCACTGCAGGAAACCTTTATTGCCTTCTCCAAATGTTGTACAGTTGAGTCCAGCTCTGCATGTTGTTGTTTTTTTAAACACTTAAAGGTAGATACCATAAATACTTCAACTCTCCAGGGTATCCTCAGACATAATGTCTACTTTGCCATTGCTAAATTATGCATAACAAGCAGCTTATACACTGCAACTATTTATAGTATGAACATCACAGGTGATTGTGGCAAATTCTATTGCAGGTATAATCCAGTGTTACAGTAGATACAGACATTGATAGCACAACCCACAAGCTTACACAAGACACATACACAACATTAACATGAATGCACTGCTTAATTGTTATCAGTTAACTGTTAAGTCAACACAAAATTACTAAGAGGCAGCTTTCATAGGATGCAGACTTATGTCTGTGTGAGTCTTACTAAGCTCTTCTTTAATGTGTCGGTCAGCTGTACCTGTATGAGCCATATTGCAACAAAATCTTCAAAGGTCATCAAATTCCTCCTGACCCCAAAACACTACATTACTAAAACAGCCTATAATACAAGATGATTAATGTACTTGTACAACATTGAGGGCAAAAAAGTTTCATTTTTAGTTGTAATGCTCTTGAATGTAGGAATTCTAGTTTGTACATTTTTACGACATTTGGAAGTTTTCCAAAACAGCACTCAACAGTGCACAGGGTAACAACTTGTGAATAATACTTGTGCAATATTGGATAGAGAAACCCAATATTGTACTTATAGGCCCTGTATTTCCATGTGCTGCCAAATGCACTAATTTGATACTCATGGAAGACAATCCTCCCAGTAAAATTGGTCCCAAAATCAGTTCCCTGAAAATGTGACTAATTTTGTGTGATGCCTTTGTATTGAATGTAACATTTGATATATAACATAAGTTAAATTCACTATTTCAGGTATTTTACAGACTAAATTCTGTCTTTACATTTCTTTCCACAAAACCATATACATGTAATCGTGTCTACATATTTTTACATCTGAAATTACATCATGGTACAAAGCACATTCTGTTCCCATAGAATATACAAATGAGACAAATAGCATGCTACCAACTACTAAAATTATTGCTATGTGCACATGTAAGTTGTTATAACATCACACAAAGCCATGATGCACTTCATGTGCCTACTCACAAATGATAACTAATTTTGTTATTGATTTAAGCCTGTACTCTGCCAGTATACAGTAAGGTATTGAGGTATGTGGTCGCCAGGACTTGTGCTTGAGTAATTAAAATAGGAGCAATAAAGACAGGTTTGGAACATTGTTGAGTTATTTTGAGGCAGGGTGTCATACTAACCTCTACTTTGGCTTTCTATAAAGTAAAGAACTTGTGTCCATTGTTTTTTGAATTGTTAAATATTACCACAAGAAAGTCTTGTCTTACCTTGGAATTCAGGTAGTCAGCATACCAAAAGTATCCTGGGTAGACTAACCCATTTTCAATTCTAGAATGGATCAGGTTGTCAGATAGTAAATCTGGTTATCTCGTGGGTAAGGTCTGAAGGGGGTTAGGCACTCTCATAGGATCAAGATACCACTGCAGTGCATAAAATATTTTTCAGGACAAAACAGATGGCAATGAGGTTTCAAGTGATTTTCAAATCATAGTTACATTCCTGTTTAAGAACTTAAATTTGCCTTAGAAGCAGCAGTTTAGTCCATTTGCTAGAGAATCTAAGAGAAGACTACCATTTCTGCTGACTGGCAGGAAAGAGGGATACATCTGTTTTCATAAATGTATAACTTCACAGATTACAGTAAATAGTACTATGTTCCTACAGTGGTTTTTGACGCCCATCAACTCTGAACTCAACATTCTAATATCTACTAACAGGAGCTAATAATAGGTATGTTCATACTACAAGCACTACATCAGATGGATGCTAGACAAAAAATCTGGCCAGATTTCAGAGCTAAAACACTTGAGAAGAATACAGTATTTCCTGGCATAAAACAATTGCATTGAAAAGGCATTGCTTCAGAAAACATATACTGGTAACTCATACTTTTTCCATTTAGATTCATACAATGAAACAGTTAAGTCTCTTTCTCATGTCCCTGTGGTCCCATAGTTAATATATTTCCATCCCTGAAGGATTACTTCATCTCTCTTCATCTCTCTTCTTAAATAGACCATCATGTGATATATAACATTTGGAACAGGGCTTGGTTTACATCTTATAAATATCTTGTTTAAATATATATCTATGTACAATATTCCATGCACGTCCAAGGTTGTAGTCATAAATATCTACTACTTTGCACAAATGTGTTCATCTCTGTTTCATCAACAACATGGGTATAGTTTCCAATATGGAAACATTATATATGTCTGACTGGGGCCGGCAGGGGTGTTTAGAGACACTTGTTAAAATCACATCTTTGAATAACATTTATAACATTTTCATCCCAAAACCCAACAGAAAAATTACATGTCTGTCTTGCAAGAAATCCTCCAATAGACTTACAGCTGATGAAATACTTACCAGTGGTGTCAGTTGCACATGGACTACCAAGCATTTGTTTTTCTCTCCTCTAAGGTCATCTATATGTATCCTGTCCTTCACCTCAATGATGGTTGAGACACTATTTATGCTTGACGTCAACAGAGATTCCCTTACATGACACGACATACCAGTACATGTTGTCAACAAGACCATAGACAGGGCCTATCTGTCTTCAGCTTATTATTTTGGTATATATAATATCCTGATTGAGATGTGTTTCTGATGTCTGATTGCATCTTTGCATTTAAGTAAATGTTAGAAAACACAATTTTCACCTGTAACTCCCCTGTAGCTCAGGAAGCCCACCGTAGACCCAATCATCCTGTATCCAAAGCTCCAGATATGGATCCATTTCCACCATTACTAATAATTTCTGGTAAATTTGAGACATGGGAAAAATCCATGTGTTTTAAGGGGCTTGCTTTGTTAGGGTAGTGTTGATGGGGAGCTGTGAATTCTTGAATATTTCTGAGTTCTTAGAATCCATTTTTTTTAATTAACAAGAGAGACAGGTGTTTGGAGTCCCCCCAACAATGGAGATATCTGTCCTGAGAGTGGATACATAAAGTCTCTTTCCAATATGATATACCTTCTCTGTGGAAAGATAAGAATGTATCACATACAGGGAACAGATGGATCAGAGTTACTGTTCCTTGTTCTTGATGTCTCCATTGCCCATGCGTGGTGGCTCCTGGTAACGCAGCTTCAGGGTGTTTCCAATCACAAAGCGCTCCACGATGAACAGCCCAACCAACCAGCAGGGAGCATACTCCAGGGTGATCAGCCCAAACAGGTCATAGTCAAAGGGGGTATAGTCCCAGGGGCAGGCGTTAAACTGGCGCAGGATGTAGCCGGTGCAGAACTCCCACAGGTATGTCCAGATCAGGTACAGCAGGAGGCGTAAGGGAAGAACCACGCGATCCTTCAGGGCCAGGTACATGTGCTCGATGACAAAAATGGACATCCCGTAGATGAGCAGTGACCACACGCTGGTGACCCCCGGGAACTTCCAGTTAAGGTTCACGACGAACTCCCACGCTGCCGTGAACATGACCTCACAGACGTAGCCGTGGACGGCATAGAGGTAGAAGCGGGAGTACCACTCCAGGCGGGTGGTGTACTCCTGGCCGTAGGGCATGGCAACCATGATGCTGGTCCTGGGGAAAACTGCGGGGAAAACTGCAGAACAAAAAGCCATATGTTATATAGTGGAAAGCTAATTACCTTGGGAACAATAACATGTCAACTCCACCCAATACAATGACATGTGTTGGTAATCTCTAAGCAGATGTTTGGCTTTATCAGCACTTAAAAAATGTACAATCATACGTGTACTATGCAAAAAGACATTAAGCACAACATGGCAAGAGCCAAACATGGATTGGTTTGGAGATTTCAGACTATAGTATGTGACCTTGAACGTTCTATCTTAGGTCCAGTGTTGACTTCCCCTCACACAGTGATATATGTCCATCCCACTGTGGACACCATTAGGAATTTTGTCTCTACTTCAGCTGATAAGTTGCTAAAGTATCCATGTACATGTAACACTACTAACAGGTCTGATTGCCTTGATTCTCACTGTCGGCATTAAAACGTGATTCTATTCATAGTTTTAATCTCCCTGCATCGTCCTCACGACTTATTCCTCTTATCAGGGTTTATCACATGGCGGTCTCCAGCAGGCCTTCTGTCTTATCGCACTAATGGCCCCATCATCCCCACCAGAGGGCCTTAAACACTGATGTAACATGTCTGCTTCAACCTCCCTTGGATATAAGCTGTTAATCTGTAAGATCCCAAGCAACATCCCTGTGTCTACAGAACAGTGCCAAAATCAATGACAAAATCTATTTCTGCATCCATCATGTCTCCTGATAGACAGCTTTGTTTGTTTTGTTTTTACATTAGGAAAAAAAATAATGTATACAATCAGTAACATCTGATGAATTTAATAAACCACAAGCCTGGTCCTGAGAAATCCTCAAGTTTGTTCTACCAACAACAACAAAAGATATCCAAACCAGTGGCCTTATATTACTGTACATGCATGTGGAAACTAAGTAAAAAGAGAATATGGAACTGACAACTTTGATAATGGTCCAGAACTAAGACAGCTTTGGAAATATTACATGTGCCAAGATAAACATCAGCAAATATTCCATGCAGAATCGGGTAAATGCCTCACAAAGCACAGAAACAGCAAAGCACTGACACTGGAAAAAGATGTTAGCTGGGTGATTCCAAATTCCATTATTATGTTATGTAGGCTGTATGTATAGTAAAATTATGCTGGAATAGGAAGCATGAAGGTATTCTATTGGAATCCTAAAACAGACTGCATTTAATGTTGATTGAAGGGCAACACAGGAGACCAACAGCCGGTTAGACTGGCCGGTGGCGCCAGAGGATAGAGATGGAGACAGTCTACTTACCAGAAAGAGCTACATGGGGAGATGGTACAGGTAACCCCAAATGAAATAGTAACAACATACTTAAACACTTTGCTACATAGACAGTACCTACATGTATTGCTGTACACTCCTTCTGGTCTGGAAATATTGAAAGCTACATTTACATCATAATGACTTACTAATTGAGTTCTTTCTTTAGAGGCACAAGGTGGAAATAGAATTGTGTTGGCTAATGATCCTGCTGGTTTTGTGGTACATGTACATATTTTTTCCAAACAAGTTGAAACACATCATGTCAGGTCAGCATACAGCTATCCAATGGAATGGCATTTCAGGACCAAGGACAACACCATTAAGCACAACTAACCATCGGGTCTTGGCAATCATAGGGGTAATAGAACACTAAAAATTAGTCTTTCCCTGTACCCTAGAACATAACACAGCACTGCCAGTATAGTCAGTAAAAGTAGGGGACCATTCTTAAATAAATATTCATCATTCTATCTGATGTGCTGATGATGATGATTAGTCTGCAACCTTGAATGAGATTGTATCTACAACATGTACAGACAGCGATATTTTACAGTTCCTACAATAAAAGTCATGTCTGCTCAGCCATATACAAGCCTGTCTGTACATGTGTTTCTCCTAGATATTGACTGACTTTCTGTACATAAAGACATAAATGTTGCCAAGACACTTCCCACCATCACGATATAATACTGGTACGTAAACGTAAACTCAAATCATCCATTTTCTCTTGCAAGTACCTCCCTTTCTTTCTGCATTAAGGGTTCCCTCCATGATATACAACATCATGTCATGCAACAGAACAAATCAGCTTTCAATTATAGTGATGGAAAGCAGGAGTATGATGTTTCCACTAATGGAATCTCTACAGTGGGGATTTTAGATCTAGAGGAACCAGGGTACTCCATACCGGCACCCTGTTATCAATCTTTACCTTCATCAAATGACAAATGGTCATGTTAGCAAATAGCTGTTGTAAAGAACATGGGAGGATGACACATCATGTTGGTTCTTTGTCATGGATTCCTTCACAATGCAAATACATTAATTTTGCATTCTGGTTTGGGTTGTCAGGAGGATATATGTTTGGGGTCCATCATACTCTATGTATTCATAGTATTTCCAATGGCATGCCGCATGATAAAATACTAGCCTGAAGTCAACCTGTTCCCACGCACTACAGGCTGAAAATGGCGACAGCACAGTTGGATGGCTGTGCCCACAAAGGAAAATCAGCTTTCAAGCACTGCCTGATGGTATAGCTTATAACTGCTAGTAAAATGGCAAACCATGAAAACATCATAATTCTCTGACATACCTGCAGAGCAGCCAGCAGCCCACTGAGAACTGCCTGCCGGTGCACAGAACAGAACAGAGCTGATATGGCTGGAAATCCTCTTCCACTAGATGATTGGATTGTGGGAAGGGAACAGACCTAATAATCCTTCAAACACGCTCCTGATGGAACCTATTTCTGGGCCCTGCCTGGGAAATTGCATCACACAGGGATTGGGGCTTGTCTGCAGAGCTCACAGTTCTCCCAGCCTGGCCGACTCTCAGCCACTTCTGGGGATTTTCCACCAGCAAGTAGAACCATCACTTACGTACAACACCTTTCAGCAAACCTCTCCAAGCCAAAAATAGGATACCCTTCAGTGAAAATAGATCTATCTCCTAATTCTGTCTCATGTAATTGATCTTTTCAAGGACCAGTAATCAATATTTGTTGATATTGTTAAAAAATGTTTTTTCATTTTCATACTTATTCTTCCTAGATTCAAACTGACCACTTGGCACTTGGACACATATAGACTCAATGATAGAGTCTCCATTCTACCCAAGACAGGACAGAGGAAGATACAGTTGCAACACCATCCATGTAACTGTCACATAAATATGTCACACTATGATGATAATAATAATAATACATGTATTGTTTTCCATCAGAACACAAAGGTCAGTCTCCTTCATAACATAACCACAATAATTATTTTATATGATATCCACATGTGGTATGGCATATACATGTAGCAGCTGGTAAAAATTAAAGCAATATCACAGCCTCTAATACAACATGTCAAATATGATGATGGATGAAGTGAACTACCATTTTGTCACCCCCAAATTGCAACAAGGATTATCAATACTCGAAAAATACCAGATTTGTAAATCTATCCCCTAGTGTGCCCAAAACCTCTGCAAAACTGGTAGATACCAGTTACTGATCAGCCTTTGACATAGCGAGGGCTAATATCAGACTCTATCAGTCTATGTCCAGTTTAGTGGAGAAAAATATTATTTCTGTTTTCTAACGTGTTCTTCATCAGATCTGAGCATAAGACAAATAGAAAACAGAAATTATCTTTTTACCACTAAACTTAAGCTCCATCAAATATGTGGTGAAGTATACTGCAGAATTTGATTCAAGATTTATAACTTGATTTCTGAGTATTGCTTCACAGCTTATTTTGCACCAACTGAGAACAGAGTGCCACATACAAATTAATCAATGTCTTTCTCCTGGGAAATGAAAATGACCCCTGGACTATCATCATCAGACCACACAACTCATTAATCTGCCATTACATTTATCACCGAGGAGGTATGGTCCTTGGTGACAGCTGTGCTACAGGCAAAGTTATCTCATTTGAATCAACATGCCATAGTGTACATGACAAAGGGTATCTTTCTCCAATTGGATGCACATGTATGTGTACATCCACTAACATTGCATTTATAGGATTGTGTATAACATACTAATACTGTACATTGAAAACTAGCATGATGCTATTTTTCAGCCTGGCAATTTTTGTGACTGCAAACTATCTAGGATTCTACCAAAACTATTGGTACAACAAGTAGTATGTCAATGGTAACTTCCTCGAAGACCAACAAACACATAGCAATAAATTAGTATTCCCAGCCAAAATATATGAGCAATGAAATACTGGTAGTACAAAAACAGCACACATCAACCTAGCATTAAAAATTAAAGTTATCTTGATTGTATTGTGGTATAAGTATTCAAGATATTTAAGCATACTGCAAACACCACATGTCTATGCTTCAAATGTTAGGTACCGTATACAATGTGTGCTAATACTAGTATTAATAAGTAATGATCAGCTTTCATACTCACCAAAAGTGCCTATACGAAGCAGTAGACACAGGAGTCAGATGCTCTCTAAAGTACCCAATGCAGCTGCTGCAGCAGGTAGCAGGTGTTCAACGGCTGCTTTATGTGCAGATCTGTGACTATCCTCAGTGTGTCACTTGTGCTATGACTGCTATATCGTCCAGCCAAACATCCACCTAGTGTTCAGGTAGTTTCACAGGTCCCTCCTGTAGATATCAGGTACAGCTGGAATGGGCAGATGTCAGATGGTCTCACAGCAGCAGGTAGCAGACAGTCCTACAAACGACAGGTGGTCTCAGAGCAGGTGTCAGTGTTCTGAGAGATGGCTTATTCCGGTGCTTGTTGCCAGTGCTACAGCTCTGCTAAGCTGCAGAGAAATTAAACAGCAAAAATTCAAGCATCCAACCAACCAACAACAGCAATATTTTAGAAATTATTCAGAAAATCCTACATGACAGTCTCAGCCAGATACTACCAAAGTACCCCTTGGTGTCAAACACATATATTCATAATCCAGTTCCTCCATACAGATTCTATTGAATATATACAACCAGTTTCTCTAGATATAACCAGTCTTTACACTGATTTTAGACCTACTACACATGCACGCACAGAAAGTCTCATGCAGAGACTCAAAAGGTATAAAGGAGGAAAAATATCCCAGACAGGCCGATGGCTGTTTTAATACCACAAAAGAGACCTACCTGAAAGGAATTACAGAATCTATGGAAACTTAGCTTGGGGATATAAATACATATGAAGAGAATCACGACACTATACTGCTGCTGGCATTTCAGAGCCATATTTGGGAAATGTACCTCCTTATATAAATGGCAGAGTGTCTGGAATCAGACATCTTTACATTGTGAATTATTGTTCCTCTTTTTAAAAGATCTTTCCAAAGATTTTGGGTATAAAGTTATTCTCTTCTAGTTCCTGGCCTTTCCTGTCATGAGTGTCTTGGTATCAGCCTGACAATGTCTCTACCTTGTGATCTCTTACCATTTAGGTGTGAAAAGAAAAATCTCTGAGGACTACAGGATATAATCCATCAGGCTGTCAAATAGAGGTCAGCTCCAATTGAAGAAACAACAAGGTGGAAAATGCTGATTACTAGCTTACAAGTACAAGATCAGCAGGGTAAACTGCTTCCAGTTGCCTGTGAAAGGATTGCAGCTCTTATTTGCTAATTCTCATCCCTTTGTAGCCAACTCAATAGGAATTTGGTAAAACTTTTATCAATGTACCATAAAAACATTTTAGAGGATTTTATAGTAGACTTGAAGGGTGGTGGCATTATTTATTTCAGTGAGCAATGTGAGTTATGCTGCAGAGGGACAGTTTTGCTACCAAGGGAATTTTGCCAGGGTTGGGAGCGAAACCGTTAACCGTTTCTCCCCGGCAAAACTCCCTCAGCGGCAAAACCGTCCCTCTGCAGCATAACTCGCATCGCTCACAAAAAAAATAATAATAATAACGCCGCCGCCAGCCACCCTACAAGTCTGCGAAGGAAGCTAAGTAATTTTATAGGGCCCAAAATAGATATCCTTGGACCACCTCCATAGTCTGATTATACATTCTTTTTAACACCCTAGCAGTGGCTGCATGAAAGCACCTGGTGCAGGTGACATATGTACCGACTACATTCCAATATGAACTGTGTTTCCACAATGATGATCTAAAACAATGTTTGTTGGCCTAAAGGTCACACATGTCATCATCATTCATAAATAGACAGAAACTGCAGCTACACAATAACTCAAGAGGGCTAGGTAATCTCATCATAGTCATAGGTAATCTAGCTCCAACAAAAACTGGATAATCTTCCTGTAGAAGCCATGAATTAATGATGAACTGCTAATAACTAATTTATCTTAAAGGCCTATTGTTGGATTTTTGCAAATATTGTCCAGAACAAAATTTTTCTGAAGTTTCCATTGGTAACAACTTCGTAGACATATTACGGAATTTTTGACCACATAAAGATCAAAAACAGCACAAAGAATTGTTTAAGGCAATAACCTGTCAGAATACATGGAAACTTAAGTCAATTTTTGGATGTCTGAATATATCCCTATCAAGAAGTTCCAGAGCAGATCATGGGGATTTGGATGAAAAATTTTTTTGGGAACTTTGCTGCAGTTCTGCCAGTATTGCAACACAACATACAGGACGTGGTTTTATGATGCCCCACAACTTGTTACAAACATTGGACACTTGCAGCCTCTCTGTGGTGTATAACGCTAACTATATCCCAAAGATTTTCCCATCATCCCTACAACTAGGAAACAAATTCAGGGGCCAAGCATTTGCCAGCAGTATTGATTTACAGGTCTCCTAGTCTATGGAATCAAAAAGCACGATTATGTATCCTATAATCGCAAAGCTTGGTCATCGGGAGCGAAAAATTGACGACAAGGACGAATAGTGATGAGGAGTTGGGATTCTATAACCTACTAGTATATATAAAGGAAGGTTAACTTGTTACGTAACGCACACAGCACCAGCCGGTCGGCTCCCTCAACCGCCAACCCAACTTTTATGCCACGTCGTATATGTTATCTGCTTGTGTCAGTTTCATTCATCTTGTAATCTGGGCTCCAGTACGTACCTGGGCGATGTAATCTGTGCTTGCAGCTCGGGACGACTGCTGACCCTCAGCAGCGCAACATCCACATCAGCACGCATTGATCAGGGATGGAACACTTGGTCTTACGTCATACCAAAACAGGAAGTGGTAGACAGGTCACCGGATGTGAACCTTGCGACATCAAGTGTCACGCCTCCTACCGACTTTCAAAGGAACTACGGTCCACGAAGTTCGCGGTAGCCAAAATAAAATTGTGCAGAAGTGTCTCCTTGCAACCTTTATATCGAGACATATGGGGAGACAAAAATCCTAGCTCACCGTTTCTGTTAGTTACAAACTGCCTCCCTTTCCTGTATCCCAATATTTGACTCCAAGATCACCATGGCCGCGGTATGCCTAAATACCTCAACCGACGGCTAACAACCTTTTCCAACGCTCTGGACACATTGTCTATGCTTGTATGAATGGAAAAAACACTGTAACTCTGACGATTTTACCAGTTTTTAAGTTATTCATCGTTGGGCCATCGTTGATTTCAAGAACTACCCGAGTCATCCACCCATTTCTTGGCAGATGTACAAGGCATGCTGCTTATTGGCCTGAAACAACACCGAAGGCAGAAGTGCATAAGCACTCCCCTGCCCAAATGACGAGTTGGTACAGTTATATTTCATATTGGGTATGGTGCATCAGGAAGAAGTTTCCAGGATCGAGTTTGAGCTCTTTAGAAAAGGGGACTGCGACCCCAAGTGTAGCCGGGGTAGTGGGTACCATCCGGATTTTACTCTGCTACGCTAGAAAAAATACCAGAGCAAAATCCAGATGGTACCCAGGCTACCCCAAGTGGAGAAGTATTATTCTATATTATAGTGCAGCAGTTTAAAAAACATATCAATTCAACACAATAACTCATAGGAGGGAGTTCGTTGGATACTTCAAGTTATTTTATTGAACAGTCACGTTGTAATTTGCTACCAAAATGTCTGCATGACAAGTCAGCTACAGCAAGACGTGAGAATGTCAGTGATGACCAGCAGTTATGGGATTCTGTCCATCTGCATGCATCAGATAGGCATGACCTGTCAGTGAAATGTTTTTACTTTTTCATCAATGTCTTTTTTCTTCTTCTCATTTGACACATTAGCTTTGAAATGGGAAGACCAAAGCTTGGCAAAATATTGTACAGCACATCTCTTTAAAAGTTCAACAAACTTTCAGTAGATTTTTGCTGATCCCAGAATTCCATAACCACCTTCAAAGGAAAGTGCTTTCCTAGTCGGAAGACCCTGGCAAACATTGCATGAAGCTACCTGTATTATCACAGACCAAGTTGGACTTACTGGTGAGTGCCCTAAGCTAATTCATGTTACTGTAAAAACTGAGTGGCAAAGCACTGGTACTTTGTCATGAGCTCTCTTCTGATTCCAAATGTCTGCACCTGAGTCTGGAATCCAACTCATACCTGCGACAGTCAGAGACCTGTAGTCCATTCCTGACAACAAATGTCATTTCTGTTCCAACTCCCCTTGGCAAGGACAAACTGGAAGGTTACAAGCTGTCAAAAGTTGGAACCACAAACTTACAGATGACTTACAAGTCTTCCCCAAATCTCTGGATAAATGGCAACTACAGGTTTACCTGTTCTCTGTGCTGCAAAAGCTCATGAAAAGCTACAATAAGATCATGCAACTTACAAAAAGAGTGGCACCCCTCTGGGGCAGCCACAGGAGCAGCTTTCCTAGGATCTAACACAGAACAACAAATGGCAGGCACAATACAATTGGTCTCTCACTGCTTACAGTCCTCATATCCAGTTACTCTACTCCATGGTCTCAATAAATTAGATGCTATCAATTGCCTCCAAGAAGATAAAAACTGATGTGATACTGTCTATTTATATGCTTATTCCTAAATCATTGGAAAAATACAGAAGCTCTATAATTAGTGATGAATACGAGTACTAGCAACATATATCAAACAATGCCTAAACAAGCAATGTCCCAACTTATACTACAGCAAAGTTATGAAAATATGCACAGTTTCAGAGTGACATTCTTCATTATACAAATATGCAATCTCAGTGCCTGTTGTGTGAAAGGTATCATCTTGGGAAACAAGTACGTTCTGTAACACCCATCAACACAGAACTGAGAATGATCCGGGGAAAGCCCCTCATTTTTTTTGCTTCTTCCATAACACATATTTCTGATGGTCTTGATTCTGAAACTGAACGTTATCTGTTCATACATAAGCAAGTTCTAGGATATTACCAAATGTCTTCAAGCAACAAATTCTACCAGAGGCCTGGGGAGCAGCAAGATTTTCCTGCTATTTCTCAAGCACTGCATTTTTGTCATAGAAAACATGTTGCAAATGGATTTTCACTTACAGGAGTGTTAAAAGCTTATGGACCAATCTGACACATCCAGAAGTTGTAAGTTGTGAGGACATCCTTTGAGAAGGGAATGACTACAAGGATAACATACGACGCACTACATCAGGCAAAGCCAGTCGCTGTCATCTCTATAAAACGTCAGGTGTTGGAAAATACGTCTTGTACAAAGACTCATTGGTACTATTCACAGAAACAAGTTCATACATACAAAACTGCTTCACAATAGGAGCATCACAGGACCTACAATAGTTGGCAACAGCCAAACAATAACCTGATGACACGGGTGGACTAGAACAAAGAATAAATATACCATATTCAAAGAGTAGTTCTACATCTAGTATACAGACCCGTTCTATTCAGGTCTTACAGTGATACCACATCCCTCCAGTCATCTGTGTAAAAGTCGTGTTGTACTTTAGTCTGGAAGGCAGACCCTGTCGATGGCCAGAACATTAAACTCTACACTAGATCCCATCATTCACAGCAGGAAGGTACACACATGCCCCAGTATCTCCTGCACAGCCTCCACAAAAATGTACTTCTTTTACAGAGTGCTTTTATACATGCTATGTCCTTTGAGCGAAGTACATGTACATTCGCCACAGTCTAGAATGGAGACTGTGAGGGAGACTGAAGTGGGGGGAAAGTGACATCTGACACCCAAGTTAGGGTATCACCATTTTGTACTCATTCAATTCTCTACACCCTCATGTTTGGCCAAACAAACCCCAACCCTTTTTCCATCCACAGAGTGCTGACTTGGTTCTCCCACTATATTTGCTGTTGTACAAGAACAGTCACAGTATTCACAAAGAGGGGAATAAAAGTTCTAGAGTTCCATATGCCAGTAGGAAAGATTAGTGTGTACGTGTGTAACCGTGGCATATCAAACATCCTATACATCTGTTGACCACTACAAGTGAACATTTTCAAATTCAGCTCTTCATATTCAAACTTGATACTAACATCTTGGTAAAGCATGACCCAACACAGTTTATACTAGTTGATGGACCTGAATAAGATGAGTCTGTCACTTGACTTTGTTTTTGAAAGTTAGGGAATGGAGATGACTAGTACAAATGACTCTGCTTGAATTCTTCAAAATCCTGCTATGTGGCACCATGGCACTCCATAATATGCTTGGGTCCATACAGTACATCGATGAGAAATGTTAGTTATGGCTGGACCACTGAAGTTAGTCCTCAATAACGATGGGTTCTGGTTCACTGGGGACGGCAGCTGACTTGGGCTTGTTGGGGAGGTGAACCTTCCTGCAGGGGGATCGGGCAGCACGGCGCTGCTCAGCTGGAACCAGCTGCCGACGGAGCTTCCTGCACAGGAACACACACAGAGACAACTTTAATGACAAGAGGACAATCTTTGTGTATCAGTGTGTGTGTGGCCACCTGTTACAACAAACAAAGGGTTAGGTGTAACAGGTCGTTCGGTGTAACACGTCTAGCTGCCGCTGCGCTGCATTCCTGCGAAGCTGACGTGTTACACCTGAAGGGTGGTTATGCTGGCTATAGAGATACAGAAACTGAAGTACTTCAAGCCCAGAATATTAATGGCAGAGCACAGCACAGACTTACTGTCCCAGTCTCAGTAAATCTGTCCACAAAAGGCCACACATTAAGCACCAGAATAACTAGTGAACACCTCACCTGGTTTCCTCTGTGGCCACAAAGAAAACGTCATCAGGCGCATCAATCCAGTTGATGCGCCGTCTCTTGACGGGCCTGTTGATGGCCAGGGTCTTGGCGAACTGCCTGTTGCTGCCATTGTGATTGGTCATCCCTGGGACCCCAGGGGGTCTGGTGCCAGGGGCGTTCAGCACCTACAAGGCAACGGGATAGCTGGTCAAAAAATGGAATGCTTGTCGTTTGGGGCTTTGTTTCTTTTCAAATATAACTTGATAAGCTATTCTGTTAAAGTAACTACTCAAAAGTGACTATGAAGATTATTTGGCAGTTCTTCTGGTTTGGCACTTCTTCACTCTAAGATTGCCTCCCATAGTATTCAATGGTGATTACACTGATATATAGATAATACACAAGTGAACAGTAGTGTAGGAATGAATGGCATGGATGGGAAGATGCACAAGTAAAATAAGTTGTCAATAAAGCTGCCTTAGCTACATTTTCTTTCACCAAAATTTCAGTACATTGTAGTGCACATGTAGTTTCAATTGTGCTAATTGTCCATTTGCCTGAGAAAGTTAAACACTAAGCACTATAAAATTACATCTTCTCTGCTGATTATCTTTAATATGAACTTCCCATGACAGAATTTAAGACTTGAAACTGTTCATATTAAAAAAAAAAAAGAAGTGGGGTCCCTTGTTACAACATTATGTACGAACTCAAAGGCAGAATGCTTATTTGTATTCCCAATAGATGGCAACCATGCAGAACTGAGGCCCATGCAGGGGGGTGACCGGGAGGTGGGGAGATGAGATGGACCATGCAAGCCACTGCACTGTGGGTACAGGCGAGCACAACGACCACGCTCACAGTACCGGTACAGTGAGCTTACCCCACTCCCTGTCATCAGGTGTGGATTTACCCCATTCCCTGACATCAAGAGGGGGCTCCCAGAGTTCAGCAGGTTCACCCCACTCCCAGGTGTGAGGAGCGGAGGCCCCCCACTGCCAGGCGGCAGCAGGGGGTGAGGGCCGACCCCATCCCCAGGAAACAGGTGTGGGTTGTGAAGAGGCATCACCTGATTGGTGCGAGGGACGGCACTGTTACTGAACATCCCTGGTAACATGGCAGTCTGCCGTACGGCCGGCTGGTCGCCTACAAGGAGGGGGCAACATATGGCTGTGTAAAGCTACAAGGAAATCAGCAATGGGCAGGTGCATCCTCAAGAAACTAACACGACTTGTGTTAGCAGGATAACACGAACATGACAAAACTCAGAAAACTAGAAATCAACCTTTAGCTTGCAATATTTGCTCATTCAAAGGCCTACATTAGCAAACTGAATTTTGCTACTCACTGCGTTTTGACCACCATTCTTCTGCACCAAAAAAGCCACCATAGCTGTTAGAATCCAGCTAAACTCATTGTTCAGCTTAAGTCCCATATGTAAATTGCTAAGCTCTAAAACTTTTTTCACTGCACTTACCTTTCTTCATTGGCATGTCATTTGGGCCTCCCATAGGCAAGGACCTCTTGGCTGCAGGACCTGAAGGAAAATTCATCTTTATGAGGACATCTCCTTTAGATCTGTTTTACATGATTCTTGAAAGAATATGCTTGTCTCTATATCATGGCACAATCATTACTGTAGCATTAAGTAAACTCTGAACTTGCCAACTTTGCAGTTCTTCCAAAGTGAATATAAATTTGCAATTCTCCCAAAGCTAAAGTAAATCTTTGACCAGGATGATGCAGGGCATATCTTAAATTGCATCACAAAAAGTTCTCCCATACCATCCATCCCGTTCATCTGGTCGTAGGGGCGCTTCTTCATGATGGGGGGAGACACGTTGTTGAGGATGGTGGTGGGGTTGGAGGGGACACTCCCCGCCTTCTCATCACCACCTGTATGTCGCTCGGCGTTAGGTTTGGGTTCCCTGACAGGGTGGTCTGGGAACATGGACTTGTACTCTAATGGGAAACGTTAGAAAACACAAGACATGGTTCAAATGTGTTTGTGCTGAATGGTATGGTCAGTCATTCGACACCACTCACATGCACAAAAATCTACTAATCACTATTTGTACCCTTGGCCTCTCCAAAAAATGTTGAGAAACCAAGATTTGTTTACCCACCATAACCATAACCATATTTTGTACTAATAAAAACAAGGAAAAAATTGCTTTAGGTCAAACTGGAAAATACCCCTGTATGTGACTAACTGCTTTTCCCAACTGATCCTAAGACTAGAGCTGTGTACCGGTACGCAGTACCGATACTGTACCAGAAAAATTGATTAGGTACAGGTCCAAAATACCTAATCCCTCAGTACCGGTACTGTACCTAAACAATTTCACACCAATTTTATGCCTATTTGTGACCTCAAATGTGTAAATAGCGGGTTAACAATGGGTCCCTGTGTAAGGACAGTGTGTTCATGAAAGCAAAAACATCTTAATTTTGCCTATATTTTATCTGAGCATTCGCTAAAAACAAAGAATAAACCTTAACTATCAAGTTTATTTGTTTTTTTTGTTATTAAAGGAGTTCAGAAGAGCATATAAATTGGTCGAATTGTTCAGGTACAGGTTCAGGTCCGGACCTGTACCTAAACCTGTGTACCTGTACCTGTACCTGTACCTAAAATTTGTTTAGGTACACAGCTCTACCTAAGACCAGTTAAACTTTTACCAACAGCAACACACTGTCATTTCTACAATACAAACTTGAGTCAACCCACCCTTCCTATCAGTACAGCTTGCGATGGTTCGTGGCGGCTTGCCCAGTACCGGCTCTGGTGGGATGGAGCAGCCGTTCATCCATTCAGGGGAATCAGCCTCCACATCAATCCCAAGCTTCCCCAGGATTTTACTCAGGTCAGGCCGAGTGCGCTTCCGCTTCTTCAGGACCTTCTGTGGATCTTCCGGCATCCGGGTTTGGCCTGCAGACACGGGGGATGGTCTTCAGTCATTTCAGACACATGCAGTTAGGACTTTAAAAAACACAACATGTGGGATGCTGCCTCTGCACCTGAGGTTCGAAAATGGGTACAACTTGAGCAAACTTACATTCTATCTTGATAGAGGCAATATTGACAGGGTCGAAGGGCACCCTTGCTGCATGTCGAGGCTTGAGAATATCCTTGCACAGCCGGCGTGAGAGTCGTGTCAGGGGCGTTGCACAAAGGAAGAAGGCCTGTCTGGTCTTGACGGTGAACTTGGGACTGTTGGACTGTCGTATTGTTAGTCCATGGGCCGTGGCACAGTGACGGGCAAGGTGTGCCTTCAGCTTAAACTCCTACATTATTGTAAAAGGAAGCTAAGTCAGTTATGGCTGTGGAATGTGCTATGATACATAATCCAGGACATTCAGCGTAACAGTAATCTGAAATTTAATAACAAAATATGCATACCCATGAATACAAATGTCTTTTAGAAAACGTCTGTCACAATATAACATGCTGAATCTACCAATAACATTGTTTTCCTATCACATTAGAGCCAGGCTGATCAAAATATTGCTTTTAAAATATCTTTCATTCAACTTGATTGATTCAAGATAGTGATGAAATGCCTTGCTACATGTTGAGGTTGACTATCCAACTGGAACAATACCACGAGGAATAGACAACACATAACCTGTAAGTTACAGGTGCAGATTTCCTAACCCTTACAGATACTGTACTAGAGTCCATAATGTCATCAGCATTCCATAAAACAAAACATTACCTTGCCACAGTCCCTAATGGTACATCTAAAGGGTCTGTGCATGGGCATGTGGCCAGCCAGTCGCTCTGGAAACAAACAGTACACCAAAGATTAAGGCACAACAGCAGACGCAATCCCTACATGTGCAAATCTGTCCTCCTACCACAAGCAGGCAGCCATGCTTGGCAAGCTTGTCCCACTCACAGAACCACCACACTAAACTGTTCACATGCTGCTGGAGTAAAGGATGAAGATAGAATATCATACAGGTTAGAACCATCATGGCACAAGAAAGAGACCAGCTGTATGTCACTTTATGTGCAGCAAAAGAACTTTGATCAACCCAGCAGGCTGGTGCTCAACCAAAGCTGTTTAGCTACAAAAAGTTAAACAGTTTCCAGACAAACCTTGTCTATAGAAAACTTTCCCACAAATCCTACAAGGGTAGGTTGGCTCTATTTGAACAGTAGGGCTTGGCCGTCCTCCATCAGGTTTCAGAAATGGCAATGGTCAATCACATTGCCACTCTAACCATTGTACTGAGGCACAATGGTACTAATAATGGCTAGAGCATCTACTTTAACAAAATTACTTTATGTAATATATTGAATGCATTTCTTTGTGCAATATTTTCCCAAATACAGATGTAGATCTGTTCATATCATAATAATATGTATTTCTAGTTAAGTTGAACATGAGATTATCAGCATATCTATTATAGGAGGACGGATTGGTAAATGACAGAGATAGTAGTAGCCAAGTTCCATGGTAAAGAGACTTTCATTTTGAATGAAAGGATACCCTGGACTACCAGTGGGATTTGTCTTGCTGCATGTACAGTTTATAAGTAGGCTATGTGTCATCACTGACTACGATTGGTGACCTCTTTATAAAACACTTAAGCTCATCTATGCACCAACTCAATACTGGAATACTAATAAGGCAATTGGTTCATACAAAATTGTATGACACAAAAAATTTTCGGATCATTAAGCAAATGATAATGATTGAATAAGACTTGCAATGTTGATTCTGCATAAAGAAGACACAGGTGAAGGTGGATATTGAGACTGACAACACAATGTAAGATTAGGTAACACAAATGATTTGAAACTATAGCTCTCATGCAAATCCATGCTCGTTTGATGACAGCATGGCATGGAATAACATGAGAGCTATAGTGAATTTTTAGGACAAGGTGAACACTCATATGATTCACAATGTGAACACTTTTGATCTCAGTTAAATTCAACAACATGGACAACACACTACTTCTACAGCAAACACACACAAAGGGTACAAGCAAATGATTGGAGGTTTGAACCGACACTTGGCCACGACGACCCCACGACACCAGGGCATGGATGATGGAAGAACATGTGACGAAACACCTAGAAGTCAAGAAATTTGGACTAACCAAAATCATTTGCTCCCTCTGCCTCACCTAGCTTCTCACCTAGCCGGGTTGGCATCTTGAGGCCGCCCATCTTCTTCCAGTAGCTCCAGCAGACGGAGCAGAGACGGCATTGCATGTTGGGAGGTCCCCAGGAGTACCACTGGTGGGAGTTGGTGGCTGGGAAAGGGTGGGCAGGAACAGAGGTTGTGTTAACATGACATCCATTTCACCTTAAAGATATCTCTATGCAGTTAGCTGTGGTTGTAAGGTGAAAGATGCTAAGTCTCTGATTACAGTCAGCCCCAAAGCAGGCAGGTTCCTGATTGGTTGGTTTCAATGGTCTGGCCATTTGATGAGGAAAGGAAATTTGAATATCAGCATCTTATCACCCAAACTACAAAAGATAATAAAAGATGGATGAAATGTTGATGAAGGGTACGAAAAACCAATTTATGCGACTGCAGGAAAATGCTTGGACAGAAGTACATCCAGAAATTGCATTCATAATGTCTTGCTCCTTCACAATCTTTTCCATCAAAGAAAAGCACAGGTAATTACAATTAATCAAAGCAAGCAATAGACTATAAATGGTAAGATCTCCAGCCCATGCCCAGCAAATTATGTCAGCCAGTTGTTAACATTGTAATCTTCACAAGTACAAAGTTACTCATGAAATCATATCAAAACATCATCTAGGCTGAAGATTATCTATGACTGATATGCAGTCACATCATTGGCAATTTGCCCAGCACAAAAGAGTAAAAACACCATGCCTTACCGACTGAAAACTGACGTTATGTTATTCACCTTGCAGGCAAAGCATTTCCAAGTAAAGATGAATCATGTCTGACCATAGCCATTTATGGATAAAGTGTTGAGTTGTAGGCACCATGAGGCCATGAGTCAATGTGGCAAAACAGTATAAAGAGCCAGACAGCAGAGGGAAGACTCGCAGTTACAGGGGACTGTTAGCCTGCAACACAGCTCACAGTCCCCTTTCTGCCTCTACAAAAATAATATCAGTGGCACACACTTCTCCCTCCCTTATTGCCCAGCCATTTTGTAGAGCTGTTTTTACATGGCTTTTTCTCCCTCTGAGGAAAGTTGCTAAGTTGTACTAATATGATAGCTGGTAGCTCACATAGATTTAGCCACACATGTAAGGCATGACTGCCTTTTGACACCTAGCCTTGCAAATGCCCGGTGGCAGCTGGTAATTTAAAGCTATCTAGTAAGAATGCCCCTTTTGAATTGCGCTGTACATACACTACCAAAGTGTCTCCTTTAAACATGTATGTATGTAAGCAGGAAAGCAAAGTCATACATGTTTCTGAGGGAACAAGGACTACAAGACAAGAGTCAACAAGTCGAGACTTCCTCACCATAGCAGCCTTCACAGGCCCTGGTTGGTTTCTCTCCCTGTCCGTTCATGAGGGAGTTCGGTGTGCCAGGCTTGTTAGTGATCTGATTGGGGTTGGGCTTGTTGCTGAAAGTTGAATACAGTATCTTCAGAGTGGTAGTTACAGTGACATTCAAGTTATACAACTTGGATATCCAACAATGTCAACAGCCTATCATAATCAAAACATACTGTACAGGGGAAAACTTTATATCTTGTCATTTATCATAAATTATTTCACTACAAGAAAGCCATTTTACCTTTAGTGATATGTTAATATAGTTTCACTTGGCAGATTACAGAAAGGATAAGAGGACACAGTGTATTGGCAATATTCATTGTGCTACAGCTACCTCTACCCTACATGTAACAGGATTAGAAGTCAATAATAGCACACTTAACTTGTTATACCTTGAAGTTTGATTCAAGACATCATCAAATTGATACTCACTAGTTGGGAATGTAGACTTGCTTCAGTTTGCTCTCAGCTTCAGCAGCCTTCAAACGTTTCTAAGAGGAAAGCCAAAATTTTATTACTGGAGATACCTCATGGTTTCATGTTCCTATCTTATCAACTCCCAGAAAGATTAACAATACTGAAAAAAATCAAGTTGTCCTCAATACAGAACCATATTGATGAGGAATATCATGGGGTCTAAAATTCTTCAACAGATTCTTCAACAGAAATCAAAACAAAATGACAAATTAGAAAAGTATCAAAAATCAGAAAAGTATCAAAAGCAGCATTACCTGTTGCACATATCGGTCTGTGGTTTTCCACATGTAATAGTACTCTATAATACTGTTAAGTGACTTCCATGGTAGCTGAAAGGGAGAAGATAAGCGTTAGCTATACTGTTGCCTTCTGTTACAATCCACAGTGCAAACCCAACACATGGAATTGAGGACAATAAATGAAACGACAGAATAACATTAACTCCTGGCTATTAACACACATGTACAGCTGCAAAGCCAGTTAAGAATGCAACTATTTTACAATATTAGTGTGCATATGCAATTTCATAAAGCCTCTCACAATTAAGCTGCGCATAATAAAGCCACTCACAAGAATTGTTTTAGAAAATAGTAGTTTTGATATCTTCCTAAAATAATCACAAACATTGTTTTACAGCAAGAAATGTAACATACGAAGTCTTGTCTTATGTCGTTGAAATCTTTTCCATATTTTTCTAGTGCCTCCTCGAACAAGTTGGCTTCTGAGGCTGACCACTCCTCCATCTCATCTCGACACAGCACAGGGCCGCCCTGGGGCACCAGGCTGGTGATGGCTTTTGTGGCGTCGTACTGGGTTTTGTGAAGAGTGTTCATTGCGTGGAACTAGGAGGAAAAGAAACAAGCAGATAAAACCTTTGTACTAGCTAAGCAACAATACATGATTGTTGGTTCATGTCGTAGCATGGAAGCAAAACACCTCAAGTGATGTTTGTTACAAATATCTAGCAACAAGCCAGGTCAACTTTAATTTTCAGCATTTTTATAAAGTGCAATGACTTGAAAAGTTTTAACTTCACAATGATCTTATAACATATCCAAGGCTTTATAACTTAACCAAAACTTGAACCTGGTTGTTTTCTCAATTCGTATAAAAAATAGTGGTAAAAAATAAGACGTGCAAATACAGAAATGTAGCTATAGGACTAATGCAGTCACTTTTGTTTCCTACTTATGTAAGACAATGTCCTCACCAGTGTAATGTCCCTGGAGGCTGCTGCAGCACTCATGTGGAGGCTGGGCTGCCGAACTGAGCTGCTGCAGTCCAGCGCACGGGCAAATGTTCCAACAGACCTAACCACAAACACTGCTGTTAACTGACTGCCATAGAGGATGGCTCCGAACAAGGAATCCTTTTATCTGTTACATTGATGGTACCTACATACCATATGACTGCCATTGTTACTCAGATGTCAAAACAACACTTAATGTGTCCTGTTCAAAGGTCTACAAAGACTGATTACTCTTACCATTGTGGCCAAAATTGCAGAGTGACCAATTCCACTGACCATTAACATTTCTTGAGTATTACCTCTACAAACCAGCAGAATCAGATATAACAGCACAGCATATGTGTGTCCAGTCTCACCTTGCTATGACCATAAACTGGTCGATCTGTCTGTCCTCCAGCGGGTTCTCAGGGTCCCAAATCTTGCTCTCCATCTTGGCCAATTCTCGGCCGTCACTTTGATCTAGACCAGGAAAATAGTACAGGTTATCATTTTAACATAATGAGAGGTGATATCAGATTCATTTGAGCCAAAAACTTCTCACAATCCCTGTAAGAAATTTTATCCAAGCCAAAAGTTAGCAATAACACATACATGTACTTGCAACT